ATGCTTTTCAAATCTAAGTTAGGACTCAAACTAAGCAAGCACCTTAGCATTCTCTTTTCTGTAATCCTTCCCATATCTGCCACTACCATCCTGTCAACACATAATCGTTCTGTCTCTTTCCTCCAGGGTGGTCCTGGCCATTCCTCTTTCTTGGGATCATCATGATTCTTGTTGTCCTGGTTTCCTGTCCTCTGATTGGCCCTCCCTCCAGTAATGACTATGGAGAGAAGATACATCCCAGAAGCCAACAGACGTGAGACCACTCTTAGCCCAGCTCTGCCTAGTCACTCCTCAGCCTCAGTTTTCTAATGTACCAAACTGAAGCACATCATTTACCTCACAAGAGCTCCCCACCCCCTACGCTGACCCCACTCCTCCTTTTCTAGGAAAACTAACAAAACCAAGTCTTCAGTGACTTCTCATTACTTTAGAATTCAGTAAAACTTCTCAGCCTTCAAAAATCCCCCATGGTCAGGTCCCAATCTCAGTTCTCAAGAAATCTTCCTTCTCCTGCTTCCTTGTCATCAGATCGCCCTTCAGCCCCACTTGTGGTACCCTGGTGACACAGAATGCTTTCTGATGACCAAAAATACCTTGTACTTTGACCTTCTGTGCATTTTCTATACCGTTCTCCTCTCTAGCAACGCTCTTCTTCAATTTGAATTGTTAATAGAACCCAAACCCACTTTAAGGTCCACATCAAACTTTATCTCTACTGTAAGAGAAACTCCTGTTTCCCAGGTGGAAATTCTTCTTCTAACTTCTGTGTATCTCTCTGGGGATTACCAACACTGTCTTCTTGTATCTCAGTTACGTGTGTCAATGTCTTGTTTCCACAACATGACTATACTTCTTCAGGGAAGCAGCCACCATAGTTATTCTGAATCCTCTATGACTTTGCTTTTACTAAAGTTATGCTCAATGAATAAATAATTGAGAGTATTCTAAAATAACAGCATGGTAATACCATTTCAGACTATACGGGTCAAGAGAGCATTCCTGAAATCACGGCTAATTCTAAAGATGGCACACACATCATTGCAGCAAATGCCAAACTCTGGCTAAATAATCCAATTCATTTTGGGGGCTACCAGAGGTGCTGTCTGTCCAAGGTATTTTCAAAAGGTCTGGTCTGAGAAGATGGCTTATATAGTTTCCATGCCACTATCCAGAATCCCCACCTCACAATTTGCGAATGAGTTAAACACTGTGTGCTTTAGCTTGTATCTCAGACACCTGAAACATACTGCAGGAACACAAAAGCAAGGTAAATGTTTTATAGCTTTTTGGTAAAGGCGACCAACCATTCTATTGCTAAATAGAACATTCTAATGTCTACCACCTAATAGAAAATAATACTCATTTCCACCTGCTCGTTACCAGTCATCGAATCCTGCCAATTTTACCATCTATTATCTGCATCTACAGCTTTCTCATTTCCCATCTACCACCCTAGTTCAGGCTTTTACCTTTCACCTGATTCACTACAATAGTTTTCCAAGGGTTCTCTCCTCTTTCCACTCATTTCTTTCTCTAAGCCAATGCCAAAGGGATCTTACAAAGACTCCATCCGACTGTGCCACTTTGCTTATTTGATGGCTTTCCTTTGCCAGAAAAACAAGTCTAAACTTTTTACAGTGGCTTACTAGGTCTTATGCAGCTGAATGGTAACCTCCCTCACAACCCACTCCCCTTTATTCCCCATGAATCACCCAGCGCCCAAGTCATGTGCATTCTTGCTGGTCCCTCTGTCTACCAGGCTCTTCCCTGTACCCCCTGCTGGGGCCATTAGTCAGCCTTCCAGGTCAAGCTGAAAGGCTCCAGGTAAACTGAAAGGCCTGTGGTAACACAGGCTTTTCCCTTATTAATACAATTTGATTAAGACTAGGAAATGTGATGCCTACCCACAAAAGAAGTAATTTCTTTAAAGAGTTAATGACCAACTTTTAATCCCACTATCATAATATTTAGAAGAAACAACCAATTTCTGTCCCTTCTTAAAGTTCTCACATAATGATTTTCGACACTTAGTAATGAGTGTGGGCTAATTCTGCCTACAGCTTGTTAATATAAAATAAGAAAACCGAGTGCTTCCTGAGAAACTTGTGTAATTATACATTTAAATATTTTTCTTTCAGAAATACCTTGCCAAAAGCTCAGAGCGAAGTGTGTCTCTAATTAGCTGCACTTATAATCATGGCATTGACCAGTTTGAGAAAATAGGAGAAATGCCTGCTTGGAAAGCTTGAAGCTCCTTCTATTTGTAACAAGATGCACCAGCAACAAAAGCTTCTTTTTCTATTCAGTGGTACTTTAAAGCAGCTTTCTCATTTTGGCACATACGTATTTAAAGTGATGTGGTATTCTAGAACTGAGGAAGCAATGTAGTTTAGTTAAAAAAGAAAAAAAAAAAGACTCCATGGGTAACTTAGACTCTTAACTCAAATTTCACCATTGTCTCCTTAAATAGCTTTGGCCCAGGAATGGCAGATGAGGTAAGTGAAGCATTTTAAAATCATAAAAGAAAGGAAATCAGTATGTTAACTCCAGGGTTGGGTCATCATTGTTAACTGCGATTACAAGAAGAAACTGCGGGCCTGGGTTTACACTGGGTAAACGGCAGTTTCCTCAGTACATCCTGCGTGTTATAATGGCGTTTTCAGGAGCCAGAGCAGATGACTGCCACTGAAAAGAGAGCGAGAGCAGGAAAAAGGCAGACGCGTACCCAGCTCCTGAACACGGTGAACTCCATGGGGAAGCAAAGGTGGAGATACATCAAATGCTCAAGACCTAAATGAATCAGATCATCTACCAGATGGTTTGGTTCCTCATACATTACTGCGAAAAGCCTAAGCATCTGGAATTAAATAACCCATCGAGTGGAACGCGACATCAGTATCAGCCTCGAGAGCTGATCAGTTCAACGGTTGTCATCCTGCAGGAGGGACGTGCAGAACGGCTGAGGTTATATTCATCACTGAGGAAGAAAGAGCTTGAATATGCACCTCTCCTCACTCGAAGCTCCAAAAAAAAAAAAAAAAAAAAAAAAAGAAAAGAAAAGAAAAAAGAAAGGTCTATGTAGCAAGGCCATAATTCCAATGCTAATTTATACACCGTCTTTCCTCTCAGGAGCATAAACACTATCAGAGCTGCTAATGCATTCATATCATGACATTCATGCAAGAAGTAACAAACCCTAGTGTTGCGTTTTACAATCTGAAGCTGAAGGATGAAACCTTCATTTTTTAGGTAGCCGTATAGAATAGACAGCAATAGCAGATAACCATAAGCAAAGTTGTCAATCTCCTACCACTAAATTTCTGTCTCTTGTTAGACGTCGTTACAATTACCAGCACCGAGTTCGGATTTCCAACACATATTTGGAGGGTATGATCGTCTCATTAGCTTTGACTATAATATTCCAGACTATAATATTCCAGACAAGGCGAAGGCAACACTGGTATCTTTTAAAAGAAGCCTGAATTTGTCTGTGGCATAAGGCCGATGATTTCTAGCCTTGGTGAACTGGTACTCTACCATGGGTTTGGCTTTAAAAGATCTTGCCCTACCCACAGGCTGTCACTGGTCCACTTTACTGAATACGCAATTCATTGTAAAATAGATCATTCATTTTAAGGACCGCTAGGAAGGAAAAATGCTGACAGTTAACCCATGATGTGTTTTCCTATCACCAATCATTGAGATGACCCTGATTTCAGAGATGCTAAAATGCAGGGGAAATGTGCATTTTGAAATCAACAAAATATGGCAAAGGAAAACTATTGCTCTTCTAATTAGAAACTTAAGTCACACACTAGGATACTCAAATATTCCAAGGACACAGCAGAGATTAAGGGTCAGTCTTTGATACAGTCAACCTTCAGGGTGCTTTTAACGACTGAAACACGTTCCTGGACTTTCCAGTAGTACCTACTGAAGCGAAAGGCTGCTAAGATATCCACTCTCACTGAAAGTCACCGGTCACCCCTGAAACAGCTCAGTCGCAAGGCTTTGAAACTGCTTATTCTCCCCTTCGAGAAACCAACTGTTATCATCTGACATTGCACAGTTAGAGGCACGTTATGTTCAACTGAACAGCCTGCCGCCTTGAACATTTCATCTCACCTCCTGCTCAGTAAACCCCTGGCATGTGTACTGAGCCTGAGAGCAGAAAAAGCATGAAGCAATTTTTCCCCTTCAGAAGGGGTTGGACATAAACTTAAAGTCAGGGGAAGACATGAAGACATGTTTATACGCACTGAAGAATTTTCCCTTTCGTGAGCAACCCTGGATAGCTGAGCACTGAGAGCTCAGTCTTACAAACGACAACAAAAAGTCAACTGACGACAATGTGTTGCAGAAGAAAGCGGTGCCCTTGTCCCTCCAGCGTGAGGACAGCATTCTCAGTTCTAAAGTTCAATCTGAATTACTGCTTTCAGGAGAAGGAAGCAGAGCATCCCTTTCCTCCAGTTTAACTCCATGCAAACAACAGAACTTTTGCTGGAACACAAACATTCATAAGATACTGGGAAAACTCCCTTCTGACTCTCCCACTTGGTGAAGGCATCTATAATCTAGTGTTCTGCTCTTACCTTTTTCTACTGGGTACATTTGTTTGGTGACTAGAGCCACACCATACTCAACATAAAAGTACATCAGAATGTTCTCCCAAAATTCATATTCCACAAACTATGTGATGGGTGGAATTCCCAAAGTCAAACTTGAAAGCCATTGAATCAAAAATCATACACAGGCATTCATATTTGCTTACATATATTCTTCTATTTCTACAGGATTTACTTTTGAGGAGAGCTCTCTTATGTACCCAGTGTTGTGAATGTCTGGCTTTGAGTTCTGAGCAGCTGTCGTTTTTACTAAATAGGATGATGTGGGGGGAAAAACCCCCAAAATTTAAAATATTTTCACCTTCAAGCATACAGCCAGGCGGAAACACTTTTCACCCCTTTCAAACCTGCATCCCCAAGAGAAAAAGGGCTTACGTGTTCAGATTTCTCCTGTTCTTTTTTGTCTGTCTGTAGAAACTGACAGTTTTCTCTCGCCAGCTTCTGGACCAGTTCAATTCGTCCGATGTCATCTCTCTCCTGAAGTTTGCACATCACTCCTGCCTTAAGAGTCGGAGAAAAAGCGAAGATATACTTAAATCCACAGTCCCAGGACATGACACCACTGCAAAATTCGCCTTACAATAAGCTCATCTTCTCTGTTGCCTGCATTAATGCATGGTCTTGGTAATATAGTTGGCTTTTCCAAAACTGAAACTGAATTATTTTAACCTAGGAAGCTCACACCACAAGTCTTAAAGTTCAGATCACGTATCGGTCCACTTTAAGAGAGGGAAGGGCAGAGAAAACTAAATCATTTGCTACTGAAGTGAGCTCCTGATATGCCACTATTTGTTCCTGACAGCCTGTTTCCTGTTACATAAGCAAAGCCTCACAAGAGGTTAAAAACTCATGGGAAAGTTAGCCAGCAACCACTCTAACAAAAAGGGTGAAATGATACAGAGGACTAAAAATAACAGTACACAAGCTCCTAATTCTTTTACTCCACCAGATAATTCCACATACAAATATGGAGTTTAACAAGATCACAAGATTTTTCTTTTTAACAACTGGAAAATTACTGTGGGGCATTATTAGCAAAGTACTTCTAATGTTCCATGAAATGTGGTTTAAAAAAAGTTTATTAAAAATAAACTGCAAAAAGAAAGCTTCAGATGTCATCAGGGATTGGAAGTGAACCATTAAGCATCCCATTTTTTATTATGCCAAAGCACCTAAGTAACAATAATATGAAGGAGAAGAATCTAAGACTTTCATTAGAAAAAAAAGATGTTCATTATAACACAAATTGTTAACTGTTTCTGCTCAAATTATTTAAAAAAAAAAAAGTCCCAACCTATCAGGACATGATCTAATGAAATCTGAAGTTACTCTTGGCAGGAGCAGTCAAAATTTGGGAATCTACAATACAACTATACAGGATTTTTCTTATTTTTTTTAATGTACAGGATTTGAATGGACCTAGCAACAGGACCAAATATGGAGAAGGGGCCAGCAAGTGATGTTCAGCTTCATGGTCTTAATTGTGCCTAAGAGAACCATTTTGTTGAGTGGGCATCGATGAAATGGGATCCTCCATGCATGCGAAACAATGACTATTATCTTTATTCCCAAGGGCAAAGATAGCTCCTTATCTAACAGCTTCTCCAACAACTAGGAAGGAAACAGAAAATTCTTCAAGTGGCCCAAATCACAGATTCCTAGGAGACAGCAAGTGGAATTCCTCCCCCAAAGTCAGATGTTTATTTTTAAAATATCCCTCACAAGCGGCCCTCCAGTTTGTCTCCAAGCTTCTTGCACAGGGATCACAGTTTATCTTAAGAGAGCCTGTGCACTGTCTGAGAGCCACAGTTGTTGGAAAGTCCCTTACCACACTAGACATAACTCCGAAATCATTCAACGTCAAGCCATGAGTATCAGTTTTGCCTTTTAATTTTTAAAAAAGATTTATTTATTTATTTATTCTGAAAAGAGAGGGAGAGAGAGGGTGAGTGGGGAGAGGGGCAGAAGGAGAGGGAGACAAATCCATAAGCAGACTCCCCGCTGAGCCCGGGATTCTGACACCAAGACCCTCTTCTAGGAGGAGAAACCTGTGAGTAGTGAAGAAGGTGTTTTAAGGAGGAGGGAGAGAAAAACTGTGTGGAATGCTACTGAGATGTCAAGTATGATAGGTTCGAAATGACAGATTTGACAGAATTTTGACGGAAGTAATCGATGGCTTTTGATGATAGTTTCTTTTTGAGCAAAAAAAGTGGCAGGGGGAAAAAAGCTGCATTAGCTCAGGGTTCAACAGAGAACGAGCAACAACCCTTCTGAGGAGTTTTGTTATAAGCAACAGGACATTAGCTCAGGAGTGATGTTGAAAGGAGTTTTGCTTGCTTGCTTGTTTATGGTGAGGGATGTTCCAGTCTACTTATCTTATTAGAAATCATCCAGCAGAGGGAAACCTGAGGATGCGGGATGGAGAGGGGGCATTTTGGGGAGTAATGTCCTTCAGGCTCAAAGAAAGCATAAAGATCTACTATCAGACAGAAACAGGACTATGAACATGTCACTCACTGTAATAGGAGGGCAGGTGAAGTACATGGGTAAATATGCAGGTTGGCGGGCATATTTCTCTTCTTAAGAATTAGAGAGAGAGAGAGAGAGCATGTGCATGTGTACAAGGTGAGGGAGGGGTAGAAGCAGAGACTCTCAAGCAGACTCCCAGCAAAGCCAGGAGCTGGACATGGGGCTCGATCCCAGGACCCTGAGATCATGACCTAAGATGAAATCAAGAATTGGACACTTAACCGACAGCCACCCAGGCCCTCCTGGAAATTCTTTTTTGAATGCATCTATTTCCCCAAAGAATAAGTCAAGTTATTAGCTGAGAGTAGAGAATATGAGAAGATGCTGTGGAGGTATAAGAAAAGAATGCATGTAGTAGTCACTGCAATGGCAAGGGTTGGCCAGTTTTTTGGGAAAGGGCCAGAGTGTCCATCTTCCCGGATTCGTAGGTGACATGGTCTCTCATGCCACCACCCCGTTCTGCAGTTTTAGTACAAAAGCAGCAGATACGATAGGTGGGTGAAAGAGCACAGCTGTGTTCCAGTAACACTTTACTTACAAAAACTGGGAGTCAACTGTGGTTTGCCGCCTCCCAACTTGGGAAGAAACAGGACAAGGGAAGTAGAATAAGATGGTCAAGCACTACTAAGGGCCCACTTGATTTTATTTTTAGATTCCTTTACCATACTAGCCATGCTCCTTGGAGCATGTTTCTGTTTGTTGGGATTTTAATGGAGCCCACACCTGATGTAATGCTAAATACATGGGCTGATCTTGAAGAGGCACTTTTAATCAATACTAGAGAGGTACAAGAGGATCAGTGGTGTTAAATATCCTCCTTCAAACTAAAAAGGCAAGGAAACTAGGGAGGAGGATTCCTATATTACAAATGATTAACATCCTTTAAAAGCTCTGACACTTAGAGGAATAAATTTCTGTTATCTAAAAAATTCACAGATGTCAGCCAGCTAGAATTTCTTCTCTCTCCATCCATGTCATCCTGACAGCATTTAACATACTGTCCTGCGAGCCGAGAGAGGCGGTTCGTGACCCTGCAACCTTAGGACCTGCCCTGTGGTTGTTTATTTCGCAGTGTGATGGATTAGTCCTAATCTCTCCGTGGGTGCCCAAGCGTCTTAGAACTAAACAGGCATGAGACTGAGCCCGTTCCTCCTCACCAGCATGGGTTTCAGAGTTAACTGGCCTAAGCTCCCATGTGTTCTGATTTGGAGACGGTCTTTCCGTGGTATGTATATGGGAGACAGACCCATGTACATTCTTTGGTTTTTTTAAAAGATTTTATTTTATTTTATTTTTTTAAGATTTTATTTATTTATTTGACGGATCACAAGTAGGCAGAGAGGCAGGCAGAGAGAGAGGAGGAAGCAGGCTCCCTGCTGAGCAGAGAGCCCGATGTGGGGCTCGATCCCAGGACCCTGGGATCATGACCTGAGCTGAAGGCAGAGGCTTTAACCCACTGAGCCACCCAGGCACCCCAGATGTTTTTTTATTTTAGAGAGACAGAGAGAGTGTGTGTATGTGGGGGGGAGAGGCAGAGGAAGAGAGAGAAAAAGTCTCAAGCAGACTCCAGGCTCAGCACAGAGCGCAATGTAGGTCTCGATCTCACAGCTCAAGGTCATGACCTGAGCCAAAACCAAGAATCGGAAACCTAAGCAACTGAGCTACACAGGTACCCCATGATATACATTTTTTAAAAATAACTGATATCATTAGCAAAAAGAGGGTGGGACTGAGTAGTGAAAACTTAAGACACCTTAACTGTTTTTTTGGTTTCTGTGGGAACTTGAATGGTTAAGTAACAATAAACATTCTTTATATCATATGCTTAGGATTCTAAATATACACTCTTCTTTAATGAGGAAATACATTTTTATTAGAACCAGGTACTTGGGTGCACAAATTATGTATTTTAAACACAAAATGCTATTACTTTTAAGAATGGATTTCAGAGCAATTGTTTCATATTTATAATTAAAACATCTTGTAATTAAAAAAGGAATATTGCAGTCTTGAATTTTCTGGTTTCTGCATAATTTCTAGATGTCTTTTTATAAGATAATCAATTCTACAGCACTCCTTACTAACAACCATCAAAAAAAGGCTTTCCAGGAGGGTTATGAATGCTTCTTCATTCCCTAGAGAACGTGAAGCCCAGAGAGATGCCCATACATCCTAGATAGTTTCTAAGACAGTCCTCTGAGGAAGCACCGTGCTCAGCCAGATGTTCTCTGGGGGTCCCTTTCACAGCTCTGTAATTTAGTGATTTAATTTGAAAAACCCATGAATTTATTAATACATTTTGGGAGCTTTGTTATGGCAGGAGAAGCAAGATAAGTAACAGCCCTTGATCTAGACTTTCACTTCTTGAACTACTTAATTTGTCTATACAAAATTAATTATAAACAGTTTACCTAACACTGCTAAGCCAGAAAAAAAATAAAAGATTAATATGGAACTGTCAGAAGAGTTATTTAAGAGCCTCATTTCAAGGTCTGCTTTGAAAAAAAAAATCTCTGTAATGTATAATTAAAGCTATTCATATGATTTTCAGTGTTTGAGGAGAGCAATGTTGTGAATGTAAATTAAAGTCTGTTTCCTTTATAAACGGAGTCATAAAAATGTTGGGTCCATTTTTTCTGTGGTTAAATGGTGCTTGGACAGGATTCCCTTAGGAACACTACAAGGATGATATATGAAACACCTTCATGACAAAAGGTGAAAGAGCACATTTCGTGTATGAAAACACTGTTTGCATTATCTTCACTTTAAAAACCACTTTCTCTAAAACACTTAGATAAAACATCATGCAAAAAGAGAAGGAAAACTAGAACAAAAGAGCCCACTTTTCAAGTAAGCACTTTTGCAGTAACAGAATGCTACTTAATACAGGTTCATGGTATTTGGATAAATTCTTATTCATTACTAAATAGAGTCACTTCTTTAACAATTCAATCTCACACAGAAATTCGTAAAGTAAATTAGAAAACTCAAATGATGAAACACTGATGGGATGGGAAGATATATTATTTGACTCAACTATATGCACATACTCCCTAAGCAACAAATATTAAGAATCCCTTCCAGCGGTGGTGGGGTTATGGACATTGGGGATGGTGTGTGATATGGTGAGTGCTGTGAAGTGTGTAAACCTGGCGATTCACAGACCTGTACCCCTGGGGCTAATAATACATTATATGTTTATTTAAAAAAAAAAAAAAGAATTAAAAAAAAAAGGAATCCCTTCCAGGAAAATTCTGAACACAATTCACACTAAATAATAATAAATTAGATATAATATTAATAACAAATACATAAAAATAATACATTAAAACATATAACATATTAATAATATAACATAGTATGGGGGCGCCTGGGTGGCTCAGTTGGTTAAGCGACTGCCTTCGGCTCAGGTCATAATCTTGGAGTCCCGGGATCGAGTCCCACATGGGGCTCCCTGCTCAGCAGGGAATCTGCTTCTCCCTCTGAACTCTCCCCTCTCATGCTCTCTCTCAAATAGATAAATAAAATCTTTTAAAAAAATTAAAAATAATAACATAACATAATATGTAATATATACTAGAATATATCATATGGTAATTATAGAATCATAATATTTATACTATATTAAATATAATAATAAATTATAAATTGATAATAATAATCATAAATAGCTATTTTATTTTGTAGGGCACCAAGTATTCATTTTCTCAAATTTCTTCAGAGAGGAAAAGAAAACTATGAAAAATTTCCTCTTGGTTGGGCTAGAAAAATATACCCCTTCCTTGAGGGAAAGGGCCACGTGGCGTCCACAGTGAAAAGTGCATGTGATGGGGAGCATGAGGCAGGTTTACTCACACCCAGGGCATCACTAGGACAGGCCTCAGACACCATGCTGGTGCATCACAGAGCCTGAGAGTCATTCAGGGACTCCTGGCCCCTCACTGTCCAGGTAAGGCACCAACTTCAGGAAGGCTCACTTCTCGGATCCTCCTTTCTGGAATTGCATTTTGGTCGGACAGAACCATCCTATATAAACACTGTATGAGACTCCATCCTGCCAGAGCAGAGTAGAAGGAGGGAAGGAGGCAGAAGCCATAATTACATGGAATTTATAATTGCTGTTTCCCTCAAATATTTTCTTAATCTATTATACTTAATTTGCTCTTCTGATAAAACTAAAAAATGCACTGCCATACATTTACATAGCTGATGAAGTAAAAGGTTTACATATTTCATATACTTGATTCCCTGAACTTTCATATTGGAGTAGGGAGGACACTAATATTTTGTCTTGTTTGGACCTGAAATTTCAGCTCAGGTCTGTAAACATTACTGTCCGCACTGCTAAGCAGGGCAGCAAAGTTGACAAATGATAAAGAAGAAGAAAAAAGCAAATTCTAATAAATTCCAACATAAAGGATTTTAAATGATCATCTATTTTCTATGATCACTATCACAGCCTTAAATAACAGCTTTCTTCTGTGTATTAAAAAAGAAGTCACACTTTGGTTATTGATAATCAATTACTTTATACAATTAACAGTTACCATCACTTAATGTTAAAATGATTGATACAAATGGAGGCTAGGAGACACGAAAATAATTACTGAATGGTAATTCAGGTCAATGGACACCTGAAGCAAAGGAAGAATTTCCAAAGTTCAATACGTTATCAATTACTCATTAAAGATCACATTAAAGGCCCTAAACTAGAACCTGGCAAAAATTCTACACTTTTTTTTTTTCATTTACAATATTATTTATTCAAGGAGAGAGTGTGGGACAGAGGGAGAGAGAATCTCAAATAGACTCCCCACTGAGAACAGAGCCCAATGTGGGGTTCAATACATGACCCTGAGATCATGACCTGAGCCAAAACCAAGAACTGGATGCTTAACCAACAGGCCACCCAGGCACTGCAAAAATTCTATACTTTTTTTTTTTTTTTAATTTAAAAAAGATTTGTTTGAGAGGGAGAGCTGGGAGAGGGGCAGAGGGAGAGGGAGAAAGAATCCCAAGCAGACTCCACACTGAGTGCAGGGCCCAACATGGGGTTGAATCCTACGATCCTGAGATCACGACCTGAGCCAAAATCACGAGCTGGACGCTCGACCAACTGAGCCACCCTGGTGCCCCCCAAATTTTACACATTTTGATTAAAAAATTCTCTAATCCTTTAGTCCTATATAAAGAGTGATAAATGAGTATAGAACATTTATGTATGTGAAGACAGCATAATGTTAGAGAGTAATACTGCCAGGGAGCCAGACACCTTTGATATGCAAACCGAAAAGCAATGTGACAGATGATCACGACCACAGCAGTAACTCACGGAGATGAACTTCTCTGAGTACTTACTATGTGCTGGGCACTGTTCTGCCTCACACATCTTCATCTAACCCTCAAAACAACCCAACCATGACCCCCATTTTACAGACATTAGAAAGGCAGGTTAGCATAAGCTAAAGCCAGGTTGTCTGGTGGTGGGTATTAAGGAGGGCGCGTATTGCATGGAACATTGGGTGTGGTACATAAACAATGAACCTTGGAACACTGAAAAAAAAAAAAAAAAAAGCCAGGGTATCAGAGCTGGACTGCCTGGGTTTGATTCCTGGCCCCCGGACATACCAGCGCATCTGTAAAGCGGTGGAAAATCCAGGCCTTGTTGTGCAGGGAATAGAACAAAGTGCTTTGGCGAGCGCCTACTGCATCTAACGGTCTGCCCAAATGAACTCTCAGTACGATGACAGAAGAGGGCTCCAAGGTCAGGAGAGAACGTGTTGCCCAGGCTCCAGCGGCAGAGCCAGGAGGAGAGCCCAGGCCGTCTGGCCCCGAAGGCTGCACTCTGGACCTCAGACACGCTGCCTCTGAAACTCTCACATGCAGGCATGTCCTACACTGCCTCATTTCAGCCCCCAGACCACCTACTTCACAGAGATGAAAGCCCTGCATGCCGGTCCCCTGCAGGGACTTGGCTGGTGAGGGCACCATGGTGATGAAGTCACTGATGTCACCTTGCAGGAACGCCTGGGCTTAGACGCTGAAGAGCTTGTGTAAGGACACAGGCTGTTGCAGAAGAAGGGCTGAGAGGCAAACCCCAGTCTACATGCTCGCTCCACTCCCCCCACACATCCCTGCATTAAAACAAGGAGTTTCTCAGGCAGAAAAGATATTTTTAGGGAGAAAAGGAAAGAAAGGAGGGAACATCTGAGGAGAGAATTAGAGTTTTCAGGAGGGGGGAAATGTGTCTAGGAGATCCCATCTCTCCATCTTAACCCTTTATACATCCGAAGTTTTCAACAGCCCCAGGGCATTTTTCCCAGAGTGATGTATTTCCACGGTTGGGGAAGGAGTGAGAAATCAATTTCTGCTTGCTTAAAATATGCTGCAGAGTGAAGACCGCAACAATGTGAAATACCAGCGAGACCAGCATACAGATGCTCTATCCGTTATGTGTGCATACACCAAACATCAAAGTAATATGTTCTGGAGTCAACGTAGACACCCATGGGCACACACAAACATTTATTTCTAATTCTGATGGCAAAATTCTCAAAGTTTTCTCTGAGCTCACCCTCCATGACTTGAACCGCTGAGGATGCTACATCCAGAGCATTTGGAAAGATGGCCTGCAGAATCGAAAATCGACAAAACTGATGCTTGTCCTGTGGTAGCAGGTCATGCTTTCTCAGACGAGTCAGAGGAGATGACAGCTCCCCGCCCTCCTCCACAGCCTAGGCCTGTCACCCCCAGATAGGCCCCCAGTGAACTTAATTCCTGCCTTTCAAACCTAAATTGAAACCATTCCTGATCGAATTCTGGATTCACTGGTTTTGTCTGCTTTCACGATTTCGACCCTTGGTACCTCCTGTATATGTACACTCGTGGCACAGCTGAAGAAAACCACAGAATCTTGAAAAGCCAGGTCTGTGTATCCTCCTGAGACACAAATACGATTCCCTTATGACAGACTTTTGCCCACAGAGTAAACTCAAAACAAGTAAAGAACAAGAATGTATGTTTAGAAATACCTGTCTCACTAATAATTTATGACTTAAGAAACCTTTGAGAGAGTCTGGAATACATTCAGTGGGGGAAATCCCTGCCCACATTTGCTTGAAAGCCTGAAAGGCGATTTCAGTATGAGCTTGGTGATGGCAGAATTTTCAGTATCTCCACAGCAAAATGACTCCCAACAGTTCCTTCCTTCAACTTACTTAACTAGTGCAGCCTGTGCCATCTTGATTAAAAAAGCTAATGTATTATTCTGACCAGAACCAATAGATTTAGAACTGGAAAGGAAGTATAATGGGTCAGCCAAGCCAAGAATCTTAAATGCTCTGATCTACACCAAGTTAGCATTTGAGAATGCTAGGGTGTAAGTGGTGAGGCCACAGTGCTCTTTGGAGATGAGACGCTGGTCAAAGCATATCTGTGCTGTGAATTAGATGGTGGGCATTGGCAGAGAATCTCTGGCAGGCAAGGCATCACACGTCCATCCGTGTGGCCCAGCCCCGCCTGTCCCGCTGTCAGCCAGCCCATTCTTCTCTGCCATCTCCAGGGGGTAGGCTGCTCTAGGGTGGTCTCTCTGAGCTCTTTACTTATTTCCTTGCTTTCTCTGGAAAGTGGAGGATGTCTGCCCCTCTGTCCCTCCCTCGTGAGTCAAATTACAAATATAATTAACAATTTAGGGTCCTTCCTGTGAAATGCCTCTCTATCAAAAATAAGCACTTTGTTCCCAGGCATACCACTCTTTACAGAACACAGAAGGTCCGATCTGTGTCATCTGCAAACCCTGCCTTATGTCAGCATTCCCAGTGCAGAAGATAGGCGTCGTGAGAGAGGGCCACAGAACTGATCATACCTGAGAATCTGGGACACCTCCAGCTTCTGTCCCAATCATGTGTTTGTCACCGTTTTCTTCCTCTTGTTCGATTGCTTTAAACAAAAAAAAGAGAAACAATGTTAAAAAATGTAGTATCTTAAGAAAACAGTTTCAGATCATTTTCTTTCAGATGGTAATTTGGCAGGAAAAAATAATGCGAGGTAGAGTCACAAAATGTAAATATCAGCACTGTTTTTTTTTTTTAAGTATTTGGTTAAAAGTTTAACTAACTACAGGGAGCACTTTTCATGTACATTATCTTGTTTATTAAATCAAGGGCAGTGGAAAAGTTTGCTCTTATTTCTTCTCTTCACCTAAACCCACCCCGACATCAGCATGTCAGTACTGGGCATCGGCCAAGGGGGAATTGGGGTGTAGTCGAAAGCTTCGGTCAAGTTTATCTGAGAACTTTTTTTTTTTTTAAATAAAGTGGGGTTTTTTGGCTGGTAGTTTATGGTCACATATAAAGAAACATAATATTGTCTATTCGGACCACTTCAGTGCATCATTACTACAAAATTCCAAACTGTGGAATCTCAAATCAACCTCTTCTTATTTTCCCCAGCATCTCCCTATCCAAGTCCTTGTCCCCCTTTCCGTGTGGGTGCAATCATTTCTTAACACAAAGCTCTTAATTCCTCTAATACAATCCAGCTGCTTAAATAATCAGTCTCAAAAAACAAACAGAGTGCCATGCTTTGGCCTGTGTATCGCTTATCTTATCAAGTATGAATTCCCTGTTCATCATGAAAGGTCTTCCTTGAATTCTCTAGCTTCCTCCTAATCTCCAACTTCACAATGACATTCCATACAACCCTGATCCAGACAGAGGGATTTAATTATTTTACTCTTTGTACAGTTTGCTCTTTCACTTTCAAAATATTTACTGAGTGTCGACTATGTGCCTGGCATGGCGGCTACTCCTGGAAAAAGGCAGGTGAGCCCTGACTTTATGATGAATTACACATCCTAGCTGGGAAGATAGTCACTGCACACCTACTACTGTATCAAACAATAACAATCATAATAATTTAAAAATATATATAATTATATATAATATATATTATATTATATATAATATATAATTATATATTATATATTATATATAATAATTTAAAATATAATATAATTTAAATTTAAAATAATATAATAATAATTTAAAAATAAGATGATCATGATAAATGGGGATATGACAGAAAACAAACTGGGTGTTGGCCACTTCTGGCGGTGGCGGAGTTGGGGGATGGTGCTTCCCTGCAGAAGTGACAGTTGGGCTGCAACCTCAAGGTTGAGATGGAGCCACCCATGGCAGGGGAGAGTGACAGGAGCTAGAGAGAGCATGGACCACTCTGTGAATTCAGATATTAGCCCAAGAACAGGGGAAAGCACTAAGGACTTTTAAATTGGGAATCACATGATTTGATGCATATTTTCAAGAGTTCCTTTAGCTTCATTGTGGAGAACAGATTCGAGAGAAGCAAGAGAGGAAACAGGGAGAGCAGTTTGTCGCTGACATCCTGACTAGAGAGGATGATGACTCAGGCCAGGAAGGTGGAGATGAAGTGAAGACACACAGAGGACTGGAGTTGAATTTTTAGGCAAAATAGACACCACTTGCCAATGAACTGAATATGGCTGGGGGTCAGGGGAGATGAGGATAAGAAGCAATCAAGGACGGCTCCTAAGTAGAAGAAATTATACCTTGCATCTGCCATGCCATTTTTTTCTTTTGCCCTCTCCATCAAAAGCAGGGCAAAAACATTACCAAACTTGCTGACAGTGAAGTCATGCACTGTAGTTATGGGTTCGGTTCGCAATGTTTTGTAGACATTCAAATACTGTGCTCTCTGCTCTGTACTTTTTTTAGAGTAGCATTTCATGTACCTTTGGCTTTTGTATGCCTTTTATGCGTACTGTGTATTACTTGGCATGGAGTGCATCTAAAATGCTGGGTACGCAGTACGAGCTCTGTAAAAACCAGCGGATGAGCAATTCCTCCCCGAGTGCCCCAAACGGTACAACATGACTACCCCTACTTACAGAAACAACTGCTTTCATAACTATTTATGAAAAAGAGGGGAGGGAAATTCTTCTGTTAAACACCACGAATAACTAGGATAACTCCCATCACTGAGCATCTATAGGCCAGGCAGGAACAGCAGAAGTGGACAGAAGCTTCTCTTCTATTTTTAGCAAAAAGTTCCATTCATGTTTGTTCAAAGAGGGTCCCATGTTGCTACTCTTGCCCGATTATGAGAAAACTTAAGAAGAAAGAAAAGCTCCCATGATTTCTCTGAAAAACTAGAAACAAGAATGCCAAGAGAAAAATACAGAATAACATTTTAAATTCCACTTAAAAATGCATTGGCTCAGGGCACCCAGGGGGCTCAGTCAGTTAGGCATCTGACTCTTGATTTCAGCTCAGGTCTTGATCTCAGTGTTGTGAGTTCAAGCCCTGCACCGCACTCCACGCAAGGCATGGAACCTACTTTTAAAAAAAAGCCTTGGCTACAGAAATTAGGAACTCTGTTTAACTAACTGAAATAAGTCTTTCCTCAGCCTGCAGTGGGGAGTCATTCTCCTGGAGAGCAACTAACATGGACAAGTGTGCCCATATGAAGTGGGAACCATATCTTGGTACTTCCTTTATGTTGTAATTTGAATTTTTGCTCTTTAAATTTTAATTTAGATGAAAATGAAGAAAATTGAATTTGGAATATTTTGCCAACTAAATTCATGTTTTTATTTTAAATTTTTAGTTAAAGATTTATTTATTTATTTATTTGACAGAGAGATAGGGAGAGAGAGATCACAAGTAGGCAGAGAGGCAGGCAGAGAGAGAGAGGGAAGCAGGCTCCCTGATGAGCAGAGAGTCCGATATGGGGCTCTATTCTAGGACCCTGAGATCATGACCTGAGCCGAAAGCAGAGGTTTAACCCACTGAGCCACCCAGGTGCCCGTAATTTTTAATTTTTTAAGAGAAGACATTTCATAGCATTTATTCAGGTTAATTCACTTCATTCAATAATCTGCCATATTGTTGTCAAGTTAAGATTACTGCATTGCTATTTCTTTTTTGAGAGGACCATGCCTTTATTTGTTTTAAATATTTTATTTGTTTATTTGACATAGAGAGACATAGCAAGAGAGGGACACAAGCAGGGGGAGTGGGAGAGGGAGAAGCAGGCTCCCAGCTAAGCAGGGAGCCTGATGCAGGGTTCAATCCCAGGACCCTGGGATCATGACCTGAGCAGAAGGCAAATAATTAACAACTGAGCCCCCGAGGCATCCCAGGACCACGCTTTTAAAAAAATCTGGGTTGGGGCACCTGGGTGGCTCAATGGGTTAAAACCTCTGCCTTTGGCTCAGGTCATGATCCCAGGGTCCTGGGATGGAGCCCAGCATTGAGTGATCTGCTCGGCAGGGAGCCTGCTTCCCTTCCTCTCTCTGCCTGCCTCTCTGCTTACTTGTGGTCTCTTCTTTGTCAAATAAATAAATAAAATCTTTAAAAAAAAATAAAAAATCTGGGTTGGATTTCCATGATGTCTAACTCTATAAAAATCTTTTCCCTTACCAAAAGGCAACCCCCTCATCACAAGAGAAACAGGAAAACCAAGTAATCTCCATCAGAAACAATTCATAGTCCATAATCTTTCAGGATTGTAATCTTATTTGGGGCCTCTTTTGTAGGGGAGGGGGCTCTCTCTCATAAATGATTCCTTAAAAGTGAGAACATGCCCTACTGCATCATAGAAGGAAAACAAGGTCTAGTTCTCAGACAACAGGCAGGTGGTCCTCCAGGAAAGGAACTTTAAGGACTCCTAGGTGACATTCTGCCAAGGTCAGGGGACAGAGTCAGTGACCCTCCTATCCTCACCAGTCAGCAGTAAAAAGGTCTAACCAGCTGAGTGGGAGAGGTAGTAACTAGCTTCCAGTTAGAACTTCTAGCTCAGGAATGTCTGTGTTTGAGTAAGCCGGAGCTGGAGGGAGATGTTACAAAGTCTGGAGAAAATGACTAAAAATAGACAAGTGTGGAAAAGATACAGGTTTCTTACAGGGGGGACCCACAGAAAGGGGGCACCACCAGTCAAGGGCAGTCCTGTGCTTTTCTCTGAGAAGAGAATACACTGAGTGGGGTCCGCAGTTTTCAGATAACAACTGGAATGATACTGAACAAGTGGAAAGTTAATTCAGAGTTTCCCTCCATGGTTCAGAAAACACTGAGAGAACGCCTGTGTGCAAGGCAAAGGGACAGGTGCTGGAAAACGATCAAGCTGTCTAAGATGTGATCCTGACCGGAAGGAGCCATCTAGCAGGGGCCATCATACCCCTGCACACCACAGAGTACTGTCCTTGGGGCCACATGGAGGGAAGATGGCTTCTGGCTGGCTGCATCAGGGACATCACTCCTCCATCCTCTCCTCTTGGTACTCAGTGCGTCCTCTGTGCCCCTAGGTTACTGCTCGGCCTGGCCCATTCCAGGCACTTGCTTATCTTCCTTATGTATCTTGGTGGTGTGAGAAAGGGAAGTTTGAGAGGATAAGATCCTGCCTCACAGGTGCCTGGTGTGTGTGGAAGTGATGTATGGTGGAAGTGTTACTCTGTCTTGGTTCAGAAAGGTGGGGAAAATTGGGGGAAAGAAGAGCTAAGATGGGGTGGTAAGGGTACAGTGTCTTAGTCAGAAGGTGCAAACAAAGTTATACCAACAAGCAGTTTAAGTACACAGCTTCAACCAGACGATAGAAAGAGCACCAACACTGCCAAGGACCTCAAGAAGGTAGCTGGAAGCCCTCGGCCAAATAGGTGAGTCTGCAGAACTGGGAAGCTTAAATCCTTTCCTGTTTTCTGGTCAAGCTCAACCAGAGCATATGAAAGAATAATGAATAATTTGAGGGTCTTCAATTTCTGGAAAGTAGAAAGATCAAGTAAACTCAGCATTCCCTAGCATTCCCCTCGCCGCCCCCCAAAACAGTGAAGTTGAATGTCAAAAGTACAGAGAAAGTTTTCGGATACCTTCTTTGAGTGTGTTTTTGGCGTTCGGGTCTATAAGCTA